ATTACGTATTAATTAAATTATAAGAAGTATTATTTAAAATTCTTATAAATATATAATTATAATATAAAATAAACAAGTGATAAATAAATAATAATAATCAAAGTATATTTTATATATATGTATATAGTATATTTAGATTTCTTTTTTATTGTGTCATTATACAAAGGGTTATCAACGAAAACATTGAACTTTATCAAAATAATAAGTAAAAGTTGCACAATAATATGAAATAAAACTTCCTACAAAGTTAAAAAATAAACAAGTATTTATTAAAGTAGTTACTTCAATATATTTCTTATATTATATGAAATAAATTTCAACTTATTTTATTTTTAATGTACAAAATAAATATTAAGAAATTTTAAATTATTACTTATACAGCATATGCCTGGATTAATTTATAAAAATGTCTGGGAAACAGACCCAGAGCTTTTTGAATTAATGAAAAAAGAAAAAAAAAGGCAAGAATCTAGTCTTGAAATGATTGCTAGTGAAAATTTTACATCTCTTAGCGTTCTTCAATGTTTAAGTTCTTGCCTTCATAATAAATATAGTGAAGGACTTCCTGGTCAAAGGTATTGTTTATAATTTTATTTATAATTTATCTTTTTTGTTATCTTTTAATTTATTCTTATTTTATTATTTAATTTCTTTTCATTTATGTTTATTAATAATTAAAATTAATTGTTATAATTATCCTTATTATCATATTCAGATATTATGGAGGAAATGAATATATTGATGAAATTGAATTATTAGCACAAAAACGTGCTTTAGAAGCATTTAATTTAAATCCTGAAGAATGGGGTTGTAATGTTCAACCATATTCAGGAAGTCCAGCTAATTTTGCTGTTTATACAGGTGTAGTTGAGCCTCATGGTCGTATAATGGGTTTAGATCTTCCAGATGGAGGACATCTTACACATGGTATTTTATATAAATTCATAAGAATATTATAAATTAAAACTATTAAAATTCTTTGGATGAACTTTTCAGGTTTTTTTACTGCAAATAAAAAAGTTTCTGCAACATCATTATTTTTTGAATCAAAACCATACAAAGTTAATATTAATACTGGTTTAATTGATTATGATAAATTAGCTAAAGAGGCAAGATTATTTAAACCTAAAATTATAATAGCAGGAGTATCTTGTTATAGTAGATGTTTAGATTACAAACGATTTAAAGAAATAGCAGAAGAAAATAATGCTTATCTATTTAGTGATATGGCTCATATAGCAGGGTTAGTTGCTGCTGAATTAATTCCTAGCCCATTTAAATATAGTGATATTGTATCTACTACAACACATAAAACTTTAAGGTAATTGCTAATTTATAATTAATAATATAAGTAAATGATTTTAATTTCTATATTTTAATTTCTAGTTTTATTTTCAGTCTAATTTTTTGTTATATTTCATTAGATAATATTTAATTTTTTTTAATTTTTAGAGGACCTCGAGCAGGTGTTATCTTCTTTCGCAAAGGAATTAGAAAAATTGGAAAAGATGGTCAAAAAATTATGTATGATTTAGAAGATAAAATTAATCAAGCTGTATTTCCAGGACTACAAGGTGGACCTCACAATCATGCAATTGCAGGCATAGCTACAACAATGAAACAAATCAAATCACCAGAATTTCTTCAATATCAGAAACAAGTTATAGCTAATGCAAAAAGACTATGTACAAAATTACAAGAGCATGGTTATAAAATTAATACAGATGGAACTGATGTTCATATGTTGCTTGTAGATTTACGATCTACAGGTATTACTGGAGCTAAAGCAGAAAAAATTTTGGAAAATATTTCTATTGCTTGCAATAAAAATACAGTACCTGGTGATAAAAGTGCATTGAATTGTAGTGGTATCAGACTTGGTACACCTGCATTAACTACTCGTGGTTTAGTTGAAAAAGATATTGATAAAGTTGTAAACTTTATACACAAAGGTATTTATTTTAAAAGAATGTATTAAAATAGAATTTAAAATTTAATGCAATCATGTATAAAAAATATTTATATAAATATCTAAATATCTAAATGTTTTTTAGGATTATTACTTTCTAAAGAAGTATCTAATATTTCTGGTCCTAAACTTGTTGACTATAAAAGAGTATTAAATACTGATGATAATATAAAAGCAAAAGTTGCAGTTTTAAGAGAAGAAGTTGAAACATTTTCTAAGCAATTTCCTATTCCTGGTTTTGAAACATATTAATAATATTATTTCATTTAATATTGTATAGATTTAATTAATTTTTTATATTGCATTTATTTTTTATTAATTTTGTAAAAAAAATGAACAAAGATCATCTTTGTTTTATGAACATTTTTTACTCATAAGGTATACAAACGTATGTATGTAGGAATTTTGTGTGAAATATGTAGTTATATACATATATAATATTTTTACAGATGTAAATTATTTAAAAAATGCTTATTATGAATATATTAAGAAATTAAATACAAGAAAATGTTTAATTACAATTAAAAAATATTAGATTATATGAATTACAATATTGCATTATTTATATAGTATAATAAATTTCTTTTTTTCTTTTTACGATTTTTACGATTTTTAAAAACTTTGTACATTTGTTATTGCAACTAAATATATTTTTTGTATATGTAAATTAAATTTTGTAAAATGTAAAATGAAAATTTATTCGCATAAATTATTACTAAAACAAATTAAAAAATTTGAAAATATAATTTCAAGTTTATATAAATAAAAAAATATTAAAATTTTTTTTGTGTTATTACACATAAGAAATTTATCATTTATAATTTGTTTATATAATTTTTTGTTTAAAATTCTAAATGTATTACTCTATTAATCATTGAAATATTTGTTGTATTACTCTGTATGTATTACTCTATTAATCATTGAAATATTCATTTTTTACCAATTGTAAATGAAAATTAATTCATAATTTAATTATATATAAGATATTAGTATATTTATGGAACATCTTTGAAGAATTCTATAGATTATATCAAACACAATAGTTAATATACTAAAATGACAGATAAGATTTATTTATTGTTATAAGCAATTGAGATTTGCATTAAATGAAGCAAAACAAAAATAAAACCGTCTTACTTTATCTAATGTAAATTTAAATTGCTCATAACTTAATAAATAAGCTTCAAATAACATTTTGTGTATTTTTTGTGTTTGTTTTGATTTCTAGATCTTCTGAAGCTATCCCATAAATCCATTTATATATAACTTATATATAATATTTAATCTTATTTTTATATGTCTTTGTTTGTTATGTACTTTTAATCAACAATCGGCCATAATTTATTTATCCATTAAGATTTCATTTGAATTATTATAAATTAACATGCATTAATAATAATATTTATATCAATCAATATAATGTTATAATTAATTTATCTATATTATCTATATTCAATTATTGCTTAAAAACAAATTTATTTAGAATAATAGTTATTAGAATTAATATTTCTTGTTTAGTTTAAATGTTTTTTTAGCATCAAATAATTAAAATATCTCAAAAATTATGAATAATGCATTCTATTTATGAAGTATATAAGTAATATTTTTAAAATAAATTTAAAATAATAATAAAAAGTATTTTTAAATTATAATTGTACATAACACAAATTTTCTATTAGCATGTTATTTTCATTACTATTATATTATATATCTGTAATATTTCAATATTTTATATTTGAATTTATTGTTTTATGATAAATTCTTTATATATAAGAATAATATGTCCATATATTATTTGTATAGTATTTGTACGGTATAAATTTTAATAAATTCTTAAATAATATGATATATATATTATATCATTACTAATATAGAAAACAATTACATATCACTTCTGTTAATATATTTGAGAAATTTAATTTATTAACAAAATTTAATTTACTTCTGTTTAAAAATAAAAGTTTAAAAATAACACACTATGTGTGTTTGTAACAAATTTAAACCATTAAATATTTGTACAATATTTGCTGTGTTGATAAATTATGAAAAAATAAATTGTAATAAATCTCATAATAAAAAGATACTTTGTATACTACATATGTACTACAAGAATATATATAAGTTTATATGTATATGTTTATAGTTATTACAAATTTATATTCTTGATCATATTTTTTTTTCTATACTTTTCAAATACACAGCAATTGTATTATTTTTATCAGTACAGAAACGTGCTTTATTATAGAATTATGACTATTTTATTTTCATAATTAAATAGGAATTTTTTTTTGCTAAAATTTTTAAATGATATAAATTATATTAATATAAAGTTTAATAAATAAATATTTTACTTGCTGCTATGATAATTACTTACGTATGATTCACTCCATTTATTTAGTATTTCAGCAACAAGTAATTTCATTAAGCACTCTTTTCTGTAGCTATAAATGTTATGTCACGTTTATTTGTCATATGATTAAATTTATATAAAATAAATCTTCATTTCAGCAGTTATACTCAAATACATGTTTTTTTTAAACATACATTATTATATGCAGATTATTATTAGTACAAGGATTTTATTCAAAGTTCATGGTTGCTTTTAAATTTCACAGTAATTTTAATAGGATTCTATATGTATGATTCGAAAGTTTTATCCCAATTCCAATATATCAAATAATCTTTAAATATAATATCAAAACAGACCAATGAATGAAAAAAAGACACATATGAGTCACTATTTTTCATGAAAGTTTTGTCTCTATGCAGGTTCATTTTTTGATGAATCCTAACTTATAACTTTGAAAAATTCCTCTAGAAATGCATCCCACATATTTTTATTTTAAATAAATTTATCTGTACAAATCATTTAAAAAAATTAATTTCAATATATTCAAAGATCTAAAAAGATCAACATAATGTGTATATTGAAAATATATGGGACACTACTATAAATATATATATATATATATATATATATATATATATATATATATATATATATATATATATATATACATACACACACACACACACACACACACACACACACACACACACACACACACACACACACACACACACACACACACACACACACATATATATATATACACATATATAAGTTAATTATTTACTTTCATCACATTGCACAGTGACGTGTAACTTTTAATCAATCAAGCTCTTGTGCTGTTTGTGAAGTTGAAGCAATATTTCTTTGTTCATCATCTGAACCTTCATCTTCAAGACCATTAAAAAAAGATTGTAAAAGTGTACCAAATAATCCTTGATTGCGAGGACGTGGGGATGGAACATTAAAAAATAATTGTCCTATTTTATCTAAGTACTGTCGATAACATGGATCTCTATTTAAAGATATTCGATATTGCTCACAAAGTACTGTGAATACAGCAAGTTTACCACTAAAAAGCAAAATATATACATTAATATAAATTTTTATTTATTAAATAGATAAATTAAAATTTATACTTACCTATCAACTATTTTTAATAAAAAAAATAAAAAATTCAATAAAGGTAGAAGATATGGTGGACCTCTGTTTATTTTCGGATGTTGTGAAGTATAAGAATTGAAAACTTCTTGTGCAGTTGTTTTATTTTGTAAACAGAGATATCTAAAAATAAATTAAAATAATTTTTAAGATACATTTTATATTGTTTTTAAGCATTAAGTACTATTTAGATGTTCAAATGAATAAGATGGGAATATTTACTGCAAAACTGCCTGGGCTATAAAAAGATCTATTTCATTTTTGTAACCACGTTGTTCATGAAGCTCAACAAGCATTGTAGCACATCCAGAACCATCTCGACTATATATGAAATGTTGTCTTGCCATTACATAATTTTTTTCTAAAAAAATATATATATTCGATAAAGATTGAATATTTAAAATATCTAATATATAATTAGATATACATAATTTATATACATAATAGTTTAGTTTAATATATAATTTAGTCTTAATATATTATAAATCTTAAATAAATTACCTCTCCAAAATACTTGTGCTATCTTTTGATGCAAATCTGGATGACCTATTTTATAATCTGTATTCTTTATACTCCATCGAAGAGCAGATTGTACAAAAACATCTCTTTCAGGTGATAAAGGACTCATTATACTAAACAAGTTTGTAATTTTTTCAAAATAATCTTGAGAAGGTTCTGTTCCTGATTGTGTTAAAACATTTACAAATAAAATTCCTAAATCAGCTCCACTTGCATGCTATAAATGGTAAAAAATAATAATACAATATTTTTTTATATATTAGTATAATATGAATAAATTGCAAATATGTTACAAATAATTCAAAATATTATTATTAATTGATATACAATATTTTCATTTATTGTGTTTTGAAATATTTTAAAATATTCTAATTTTTATTTAAAAAATATTATTTAAAAAAACAAAAAAAATTTTAATGTAAATATTAATAACTGACAATAAAATTTAATTATAGATTGTTCGAGAAAAATTTCTAAATAATGATATATGTATTATGACATCATTTTGATATTTCTCGTAATGCTATATTTAATAAAATTAATAAAAATAAAAAAGAAAGAAAGAATAGATTATATACTTGTTCGTGCTGTAATAAAAGTGTACAACCATTGTATAGTAATTCCAAAAGTTCCGAATACTTTTTCTGTCCAAGATATCTGAAAAAAGAGGTTAAGCAATCATATCAATGATTGTGTAAAAATGATTCTTTGACGATGTTGATTAATTACATTATTAACCTACCTGAAGTATAAAGTTCTATACATTTGATGAGCTTCATAATAATTTTCCGAATTTACAGATGCTTCTAATTTTGCTAAAACTCGCTGAATAGCGTGATTATACCGCGAGGCCATGTTTACGCTCTTTGGAATATTTTTTTCTATTTTCATAATTGGTATCACTGCTGTATAAGCAATTTAAATTTGATTTTTCTTTAAAATTCTTTTAAAGTGAAATTAAAGTAAAATTTAATATACTTACATATATAAGTATAAAATATTAATATATAATACTACAAATATTATAAATGTAATGGTAAATATTACAAAAACTATAGATTAATATAAATTGATTATTTATATATCTATGAATTAAATCATATAGATATATATTTATTTATAAATATATAATTGTATAAGTGCAAATAAAATAAATGTTGAAAGTATAAATTTATTATTTTAATTATATTAATTGTATATATAAATTAATGCAAATGATAAACATATATTAAGTAAGCAAATATTATGAAGTAGAATAAATAGCAATAATATTATTATATTTTTATATACAATTTTTTATAAAAATGTAAAATAATTATTTAAATATTAATAATGTAATTTATTTAATAATATAATATAAATTGATAAAACTTTTATTTTTATTTTTATTTTTAAATTAAATTATTTTTACTTTAAANTATATATATAGTATTATATATGTATATGTTTATAAATATGAATAATAATTAAAATAATAAAATAAAAAAATAAATATACATCGATTTTTAAATAAGATAAATAATAATTTTATCTTAATTTTAAATAATAATTTTGTTTTAAAAAATATAATTGTACAATTTAATTAAATAATATAGATAATCAAATATAAACATAAATACATTATAAAAAAAATAAATATTTTAATATTTATATAATTTAAAATATGAATAAAACATGAGACAAGATAAATCGTAATACACGGTTTTCAATTAATAGGAAATATTTGAATAATATCAAATCTATCAATTGTAAAAAATAATATTGATAAATGCGCAAAGTGGCGTCGCGTAAGCGTTGAAATGCCTTAGATGCATATATACGTGGATACGCTAAAAATCGTGAAGGCGATGCGCCTCTGGCGGCTAGCTGCGCAAATAATCTTTGTGGAAATAATTATCACGATTTATGTTATTCATAAATGTGAAGAGAATCATTAATGAGAACATGCCAAGTAGCGGCGATTAGAGTGATAAACGGGTCCTGTAGTGTTCCCGGTTACACTTCGAATGAGTGAAAGTCGTGCTCGGTACGGGGTGAGTGTCCAAAACGTTCATTCCCTCCGCTTTTAAAGGGGGGCGGTGGCTCGCATCAGTGTTTTTTTATCGTTTCTTTAGACGTCTTCATCCCGAAAATAACAATGGCCGGAGGATTCGAATATGCATGGATTTTTAAAATGCCAAGCTTGCTACCCTGGCAACCTACACACATTTTCCTGACCCTTTTTTATTACATGTGTCAATTAGCATCGGTACGGTTACTGTACATCTTAATATTTTAAACATTAGTTTTGTACGAATTAAAATTATTCAAAGAATTAAAATTATTCATATTCGATTCTGCAAATTAATCTATAATATAATCATCAAATTGAAATTAAGAGTATTCTATTAATTAAAATTATATTATATTTTCCTACAAAAAAAAAATAAAAATTATAAAATTACACATAACATTAGCGACTAATTTTAATCTACATTTATGTTTATGATGTGCTTTTTAGTTTTTTAATTGTAGAAATTTTTTTTCATTTTTTTTTGAAGAGCTAATAGAAATAATTTTATTTATACAGAATGGATTTGGCAGAAACTATGAAAAATATTGTTGCCAAAGGTATGCAAACCGAAATGGGACCACCAGGCGGAGGATCAGGTTATCCTGGAACACCAAGTGCTGGTTATGTTACTGAGAAAATGTATATGTTATTACAAGCCTATCTTCAAAACAAAGGTTGGAATCCAAGTATCGAACTGCTGCAATGCTTTTCTGAATTTAAAGATGCATCTATGATTCCAAGTGCTGCCTATTTGCAGTAAGAATACTTAATATTTTATAATATTTATATAATGTTATGCATAAAAATTATATATATATGTTCGTCAAATATATGTATGTATTTGAATAAAATAATTATTAATATATTTGTAAAAAATAATTTTTCATAAAATTCTAAATACATGTTTTATAATATACAAATAGGATGATGGCATCAAGAATTGCTCTGGATTCTCAGGGAAGATTAGTTCTTAGGGAAAATGGAAAAATAATATTGCCATATGAACATTTTGCAAATGCTGTGATGTTAAAGCATATGAATGGTCCACATGGCCTACATTTAGGCTTGGAAGGGACAGTTAGAGCTGTTATGGAATCATATACTATTGGACGAGAATGTTTTGGTATGGAAAAAGAATTTATAATAGAAGTGGTACAAAATTGTCCAAATCCTGCTTGTCGTTATTACAAAAATCAACTTGAATTAACTCAAAAAATGGGACATATGGCACCAACTTATATTCAGGAAAATGAAACAACAGCTTCTCTTTTACGTAGTAGTTTTCCTCATAATACAGATTTTCAAGCAGTAAGCATGAATTTTTTTTATTATTAATTTATATATATTCTAATTTTATTTTTATAAATTAATTATGTTCTTTTATTATAGACATTAAGCACTGCTAATCCAAATACTCATATGGGAGGATCAACAGCAGATTTGACTGAAATAAGAAGTGCTGGAAACCAAATAAATCTTCAACGTCCTCCAAGCCGTCCATCATTAAATATTCCACATCGACCTGTATCACAAGAAAAAAAAACCACTGGCAAGCAACATTATGAATCTTTAGTACCTAATATTCCAATATCTGATCATAAATTAACAGACTTCTTAAGAACGAATTTGGATAATTTGGATAATCTCAGTGGACTTGGTTTGGGAAATTTACAAGGAATAGGAAATGCAAATAAAGATTTATTAGCTTTACATAATGGAGCTTGGCCATTGGAAAATGAGAAAGGATCTCGGGCATCTTCAAATTCAGAAGGTTAATAGATTTTAATTTATAAAATTAATGTTTAAAATGAATGTTAAAAAATGAACACAAAATATTTATTTATTTATTTATATATATTTATTTATATATATTTTTTTTATTATATATATTTTTATTATATATTTTTATTATATATATTTATTTATATAAAATATTTATTTATTTTTTAAATTTTTAATTTTTATATCTTAAATTTTTCATAAAGTTTTTTTTTTTAAATATTTATGATAATTTTTATTAAATATTATTAAATATATTTTATGAAAATTATATAATTTATAATTATTTTTTTTATATAATTATATAATTTATATAATTTAATGTTTTGTATTAAATTTGTATTAAAATAATTTACATTTAAAAAAGAAATTTAAACTTTAAAATAATTTTTAATGTAATTTGTAAATTTTCATATATTTTTTTATAAAATTTTTTTTCATTGTAAAAAACGATGAAGTACTTTGTCAATTTTAAATAATTCATTAATGATTATCATATTGTAGGAGGACAAGAAAAAATCGTAAGAGCTTTTGCAGAAGTTATGAAAAATATGGCAAGAATGAAAGCTTGTGTACGTCCTGCAATGTGCAAACCATATGGAAAACAATCAGAAGCTTTACAAAAAAGTAATAAAATATGTTATCTAGTAATAAAATATGTTATCTCTATAATATATTTTAATATTTATTTTTTAATGTAATATTTCTGTTAGGTTTACAAATAAATTTTTGTTATAAATTAATTATATTTTATATCACATTAATGAATAATATTATTAGATATTAAATACTGCTTTTGTGATTATTTCATATATCTTTTGCCAATTTTCTTCCATTAATGAAATAGAAATGTATATATTTTGGATTGATTTTGTTACAGCATTGGTGGATACAATACAGCTTGTACAGTCGTTAAGAAGTTTTCTGCCACCTCCACATATTCCTGTTTCAAGCTGGAAAAATGAAGATAAACATCGATTAGATCATACGGGTACTCCTTATCTCCCATCGTTGTAAGTATCTCTTATAGTTTACATTTTAAGTATACCCTCGTTACATGACTAGAGATATCAAATAAAGAGTTATAATTTTTATGCAGAAAGACTGGAGGTTTAGAAGAGTTATGCGAACAACGCAAGTTAGACTAAACATATGTCTTCGCTTTTTAAGCGGCAGACTAAGTTTTGTCTTTGCGCTCTATGATGTTCTAGTCATGTGGTGTTTATGGGTTAGATGGGTGTTTTATATTTAAACAACCCGAAGGATTGCTCAAATGTTGTTGGCGTTTAGGACTTCAAAATACTAAGAGACAAAACGAGTCATGCGTGGACTGTGATAAACGTGGGTAGTGAAAATAAATTTATATATAGTCAATCGAAATTCACATCGTTATTTCATATTCAAATTAATTTTATTTCATTGCTTTAAGTTTTTTGTGAATTTTTATAATCTGCCTATGGAGCTTATTTAAATTATAATTGTGGTGCAAGATAGTTTTGAATTATCTACCTTATAATAAATAATTTACATATTATGAATATGTATTATAAAATGGCATTTATATTTTATTGTTGTGCATTGATTTAATATCTCACCACTTGTGTTCCAATGATACCTGATCAACATTATTATGAAGATGTTTTTTGTTATATGAATAAATTTTATGTATGTATTGGAAGTTTACATAAACTATAAAGATTAAATTTAGTCTTGCATATAAATATAAAAGATTTACTAATTAAACATTGTTATAAATACTCCAAATATGAGAGTATATATAAGCAATCATAATTCTTGTTGTTGACTTCGCATTATTTAATTTTTGAATATTTATTACATAAATTATAAGATATTGTTTTGATTTAAATGAAATGAATTAACAAAAATTATCCAGTTAAAATAAATATTTAATTACTATATATACGTATATATATAGTTTTTTAAAAATTGCTCTGTATAAATTATTGTTTATTTGTAAAAATAGATCAAACATATATTGTTGTTATGTCTAGTATTATTATCTGTCAAGTTAATGTTAAAACTTACAATAATTTATAAGCTTCATAGGCAGTAACATGCGGTGTGCACATGTAAAAAACGAAATCATTGGTCAATTTATAGATATTTTTCAATAAATAAATTATTTCATTATTATATACAATTAAAAAAAGAAAAGAATAAAGAATTACATTATTAAAAAATGTTTGTAGCGTAATTTGCACCAATGCTCAAAATTTTCTCTCTGTGCACTGATATTACTTATAAATGTTATTATCTTTGATAATCGCGAAATGCGTAATAAACTAAGAAAAGAAAAAGAGAGAAAAAGAAAGAAAAAAAAATATTATGCGTTATTTCAATCGAAATTTTTCGATAAAATGCATTTTATTTTGGTTGTAGAAATAAAATCGTTTTAAATTCAATTGTTATACGCATATCTGCGATGGTAAAATGTTTCCTTCTTGCTCGATAATATCAAAATATTGAACTCTATTTCTGAATATAAACAGTAAATTTGTGTAAGGAATGTGTGTAAAATGGATAAATGCTTGAATCTTGTTATATACAGGTTCGATGATTGTAAAGTTTCGGCTATCAAATAGCAAAATTTTATATGAACGTGTGTGAATGTGTGTTTTTGTTTAAATATCTTTCTATAAACGTGTCTGTTATAAAACGCATATATATTTATTTATAACATCTTCAGCAATTATAATGATCAATTGTTAACAGGGCTCAAATTTCTGTGATTAGCAATTTATACCTATCTGTATATGTATAGTATTATTTCTTTTTAAATTTTTTCTCATAATTTAAATTTTCTTATATTTTTTAAAAAATATAAAATAATAATTTTCATAATAAAATAGAACAATAATTTCATTCATTTGAAATATTTTGACTATTTTATATTTAAATTTATTAAATTATTTTATTAAATTTATTAATTATTTATTGAGTTCGTAAATTTATTGTTTAATATATTATATAATATATAAAAAATATATAATATAATGATAATTTTTTTGTTATTAGTATACACGATAACATTTAAGTGAATCTAAGTAAAATGAATTTAATGAATAAATTAAAATAATAAAATTTCAATTTTTTTGAAGCTATTTAATTTAATATTATGAATGAATTGAATTGAATATTATCAATTGAAAATTATTATATCTTAATTTTTACAATTTTAAATAATTTTCTATATCAATTCATTTATAACTTGATATTATTTAAATATCAATTAATAATTATTAGTTATATTAATTTCTAAAAGAATATTTCAAAAATATTTTGAAATTATTTACATTATATTTAAAATATATTTTTTAATAATTTTGCATATACAAGTTGCGAAATAATGGATCTTATTGTATATAAAAAAATATATAAAGATAAAAACATTTTATTTTCATAATTTTCAAGCAATATGAAATTGGATGTAACTGATAAAGATATATATGTTTATATATATATAATAATGTAAAGATATTTAACATACGATAAAATATTAAATTATTTATTTTAATTTTATATTATCATTTTAACTAATTTTTTTATCTTAATATAAAAAATTAAAAATAACATGAAATGTTAAATGTATGAAAGTATATTATTATTATTATTATAAATTTTTTGATGAAATTTAATAGATATATAATAAATATATATAAATTTCAAATATGTTTTCTTGAAAATGTTGAAATTATTAAAATTAATCTTATGACTTTTTATATTTTTTATTATTTATATGTACTTGAAACTACTTGAAACAGATAAAACACGTTGTAGTTGAGTCATCCATATTTAACACACAAAATATTAGAAATTGCGTTATGCATACAATCCGAAATACATATCACCGAAATTTAAGTCCTGTATATTCTTTATTTTTTGTTAATCGATATGATCTTAAAGTAAAGCTGCTATAATATCATTAAATAATTTTTGACGATTTACCTGTTACACGCCAAAGTGTATTTGCAAAAATAATTAAATGGACCTATTTCTTCTAGTAGTTATTACAAGACTAACGTAACGTGGCGCCGTTTATCTTGTTGTCAAAAGCGTTGACACGATCAAGCATATCCATGATTAAGTCGCTAAATGTATGTCAAAAAAAAAAAAAAAAAAAAAAAAAAAAAAAAAAAAAAAAAAAAAAAAAAAAAAAAAAAAAACAAAGAAAGAAAGAAAGAGGGAGCACGGAAACAAAGTCTGATGATAAAAGGTACAAAAAACCGAGTCTCGAAACAAATTAAATGTTTTAAATGTGTGCGAGATAGAGTTGCGACCGTATGAACTGTTGTTCAGAATCCAGTTTCCAAGTTTTATCGCTCTCGCGTCATATTTAATATCAATAGGAACCGTACAAGTTTTCTGCATCTTCTGACTTTGACAGTAAGATTATTGTAACATGTGCATTATTGTTGTTCATTTAACAATTGCATAAATGAACAATCGATTAATAATGATGAATTATAATACACCAATGCTATCGCTATATTTGCACATTAAGCTCGTTGTCGCTTGCCAGTATTGCTCTTCTGTATTCTTGCATAATTCTAACCGATGAACAGCAATCATTAAAGTTTTTACAAGTGTGACTTACCTGTGTTTCGTTCATTACCACTCTGTTGTTCGAGTATGTTACAGCATTTTCTTTCAAATAGCTCTGTATCCATCCATTCAGAAGCAGAATATCGTGAGCTATCCTAAAATATTCTAACGTATAAGATTATAGAAATCTTTTTTTATTGGAAATTCATATGATTGCGTACTAACTGGTTGTGCTTCTAAAACAAATATCACGTCGTCAAGAAAATAATATGCTTGGCCGAGATCTCCTTCGCAGAGGTAAGGCAGTTTGCTCCATGCCAGACATCTTAAACTTAATGGTGCGAAAACTCTGTCGACGAGGCTAGCTATTTGACCTTCTAGACCGTTCCCTTTTACTGGCAAATATTCCGACGGTTTGTGGTCATCTCTTTCACCAACTTCTACATAAGGGCTGAATGGAAGAACTAAAGCTACGACCAAACGACCACCTGGAGCTAAAGATGACTTTAGGCGGCGAAGTAGAGTGTTAGGTCGATCGCAACGATCCAATAAGTTTAGACAGAGAATCACGTTGAAGGGACTATTTTCGTACCATTTTTCTACATCGAGCACCCTAAAAAATAATAAATATATATATATATATATATTTTTATATTTTATTTTAATAAATTATATGATATGTTATTTGTAATTAAAAAGAATAATAGTATATTATTATAATTAATTCACATAAGATATTTAATATGATCATCATATATATTTGTTTATAATTTAACTTATATATTTTTTATATATATATATATATATAATATTTATTTAATTATATAAAAACTGATTTTTTTTTAAAAAACAATGAGAATATATTTTTTAGAAGAAAATTTTCTATATCATTGATACTGAATTTAAGATATAATTGAAATAATAGATATATCTTGATATTAAATTATTAGATTGACGTTTAATAAAAAAAGTTTCCATACAATTGGATTAATCACAATATATTGAATAACTTATTATATCTGATTATATGTCCACATTTCTTTCTTTGAATTACAATTAAAATAATAGTTAATAAAAATATTCTTTAATTCTTAATATCAGAAAATACATCAAAATTATATGTGATAATATTATTTATAATAAGTTATAAAGAATATTAACTAATTATTTTAATCACTTATTATTCACAAATGTTATATACATTGAAATAAGTATTTAGAGAATATAAGTATTTAATAAGAGTTATTCTGAGTATTCGTTATAAGATAATAAGATAATAAGATAATAGTATTTGTTATAAGATAATGTTTGCTTTTTTATTCTTTATTATATTATTTTCTATTTATATTCTATATATTGCTAAATTTTGTATATTATTTATCATTTGTACTCACATATTTTTAAATTGTTCACTTTCAAAGTTATGTCATCAAATTATGTCATGAAAATCATTATAGTCTTATAAACAATTAAATTAATTTTAACTTTAGTTATTGAATTATGATATTAAAAATATTATTAATACTAGCTAAATTAAAAAGAATATAGATGATCTTGAAAAAAATTTGTTGTTTGTCATTTGTTCTTTCTGAAATATAGGTATTAATTATATTTTTTTCCTTTAATATATTATTTTCTTATCATTTTCTTATCATTTTCTTATTATTAAAAACAAGTGAAATATTTAAAATTTTAATTTAGCTAAAACATCTAATTAAAACACTTCAATCGCTTAATTATGTAAATTAATAAATTTAATATTAATATTAATTTAATTTTATTTAATTTCACAAAAATATTTCAAATAAAAAAAAATGAGATGAAATGAGTTTTAAATATTTAATAATTTTTATTTTGAATAGAAATTAATATTTTGAATAAAACATTAATATAATTATATAAATTAATAAAGATCAATTTAATATTACATTATAATGATGATGACTTAAATAAAAATAAAATATTATAATCTTTAAATATTTCAAAATTAAAATTTTTTTCATTTTATTGATAGTTTAATTGATATTATTATTATTAATTTATTATTAATAATTTATGCTAAATATTTATATATATATATTAATATATAATAATTTTTAAATATTGTTAATTTTTTGTAAATATAAAAATATATATGTTTTTAAAGATATAGAAATAATGATATTTGTACAATANTATATATATATATATATATATATATATATATATATATCAAATTAGAGTACGTGATTTGTAAATATATAATTAGTTTTAAACGATTAATATAAACATAATTAATAATTTATATAATAATGTAACATAATTTTAAACATTAGTTTATAATACTGAATTAAACATTATATATTAATTATATAATGTTATGTAAGTTGATTTTAAATTTTAGAATTTTATTTATTTTTAAAATAATAAAAATAAAATATGATATTTTTTATAATTTAAATAATTAATTTTGTTATAGGTTAAAATATGAATGCTATTGAAGAGTACAGCATCATATATGGAATTTATTTTAATAGATTCAATACTTAAAAACAATAAAATATATTCATATAATAAAATATGTATTTTTTTATATTATATGTATATGTATTATATTTTTAATTTTAACTTTTTTTTAAGTTACATAATTTATTTTTATAATAATTTTATTAAAATTTATTGCAAATGTTATTAAAATAAATTTACTTTAAAACTTTAATTTTAAATAAATTAATTAAGTAAATTATTTAATTTTTATTAAATTAAAAAATACATTTTCAAATAAAAGCAATAAAGAGAATTAAGTGAGATTGATATTCTATTTAATCATTTTTTTTTAGAATCTTATAAAAGTTCAACAATTAATAAAAACATTTATATTATATTTATATTATAAGCTGTAAATTATTTAAAAATTAAAAATAAAAATGCATAACATAAGTCATGAAAAAAGAATTGCATATTTCATGAAATATAGCAATTAAATATAAAATTAGATATAAAATTATAGCAATTGATATAAAATAGTCAATTTCAAAGCAAAGCAAAAATCATACTTTTGTACAAACCTATTTTATTATTATTTATTATTATTATTATTATTGTTGTTGTTGTTATTATTGTTATTGTTATTGTTATTATTATTATTATTATTATTTTCAAGTATCGAATTCGTTCCTATAACTGGATTTCATATAATGCCGCATCTTGAACATGGATCAAGAAGAATCAAATTATTCTTTTTCTTCTAATTCCTTACGATGATTGGATATCTCTAACTATAATCATATTCTTAATATTAACACGTACTTCTCTTTCTATTTTTCGTCGAAGATCTTCATTCGCGCCTAAGATCACAGAGGAGGGAAGGTTTTAAACTCGTCTGGAAAAGAGGAAACGGATTTTCTATAAAACGTTACGAGTACATCGTATCTTACGAATATTTACTTAAAATTTGAACAGTCTCGAATTGCATATCTACACGAGACAGACCAGATGTAAAAACCATCATAAACTTCTAGTCTAATCAGTTTGGTACTATAAACTTAGTGTTAGTGTGCACTATTACATGCACTATTTTCGACGACATTGCGTCATTAGATATTCTTCAAATTCTTGGATACATCTACACGCTTAATTATAACTAAGAGAAACTTTGAGAGAGTGAAGAATCTATTTATGTTCATTTTAGACTGAATTCATATAATAACATACACGTTCTATATATGAAACTTAAATATATTCAAGTATTTCATTTTAGTATCGTAGTTAATAGTAAAAATTATTAAACTTACGAAGTTTTTTTTATTCGATATATAAAATTATATTTTTTAGAGAGAGAGACAAAAAAAAGATAATATTATTGTTCTTCTTTAATTATGAGATTTGGTAATTATATTTGGACAAATTGATTTGAAATAAAAATAAAAGATAATAACTTAAAATAATGTATCTTTTCAATTAATTATTCATTTTTTTATTAAAAATAAATTGATCCTATGATAACAGTAAATAAATCATTTTTAATTTAAATGATGTTTACTTTTGATAGAAATATTTTTTAAAATGAAAATGGAATTAAAAATTAGTAAAGACAAATAATTATTGTTTCATAATTATATATCAGATGTCCAAGAAAGTTTTGTCAAACTTTGAATTGAAAAATTAAGAATATAATATTTCTAAAAATTGTATATATACATAAAAATAACATTTAATTATTTTCATAAAAAGAATGATTTTTGTTTAATAATTATTAAACATATATAAGATATATAATAATATATATAATATATAATATAATAATAACATATATAATAACATATATATATTCTAATATTTCTATTTGAAGTTGAAATTGTCATAAAATAGATTTAATTAGAAATTGTTTTTTTAACATTTAAGAAATGAATTTTTGAATATTGAATATAAAATAATATAATATAATAATATATAAATTATTGAATATATAAATAAAAATAATACAATATAAATTATTGAATATTAAATATAAATAATATTGAATATTTGAATATAATAATAAAAATAGTAATATAATATCGATTTTGATAACGAAAAAATATATATATTATAATTTTAAATAATAAGTCAAAATATTCTAAACATAAAAAACAAAACCTCTAAATTATAAGATATATATATATATATATATATATATATATATATA